CGCTCTTTCTCCTCCAATCTTCACTAGAGAAAATTTTCATGTGTGGTCTCACTATCGTGGGAAGTCGTTGAATCGGACTTTGAAACCGAATTGCTAGACAATCCAACTTTGAATCAGCTTAGAATGTATGAAGAAAAGGTCTCTAGAAAATTTAGAGCCTTGAGTAGTCTTCATTCAGCGATAAATGAGACTATTTTCACAAGGATTATGGCATACAAGACAAGTAAAAGAAGTCCGGGACAAGTCGAAGTCGAATTTCAAGGAAGTGAAAAGACAAAACAGATGCGAGATCTTTAATTTAAGAAAGAAATTTGAATTTCTTAGGATGAAAGAGACCGAGAATGTGAAGGAGTACATTGATAGAGTTATGAAAATTGTTAATCAAGTAAGGTTGTTAGGTGAGGACTTACTAGAAAGAAGAGTTGTAGAGAAGGTAATGGTAACTCTTCCGGAAAGATTTGAGGCAAAAATCTCTTTACTTGAAGATGCTTGGGAGTTATCTCGGCTTTCTCTCGCGAGCTTGTAAGTGCTCTACAAGTCGTTGAACAAAGAAAAGCATTTAGAGAAGAAGAAGGCTTAACCGAAAATGCACTTTTTGCATCCCAAAGAGCAAAAATGCAGACTAATGATGCAAAGAGAGGCCCTCATTCAAAAAGAGGTAAAGATAAAAAATTTAATCAAAGCAACATGAGAAAGACTAGGAGAGGTAAGTATCCACCTTGTCCTCATCGCAAGAAGACAAACCACACCGAAAATTATTGTTGGTACGGACACGGGGTTCAATGCAAAGCATGTAAGTTGTTTGGACATGTTGAAAGAGTTTGTCTAGGAAATGGTGGTCAACAAAATCAAGCTCAACTACACAAGTCATCGAAGGACTCGAAGGTCGGGAGGAGAAACTTTTTGTTGCTCGCTGCTGAATGTTTAGCTGTAACTCAAAACACTAATGCTTGGTATGCAAAGATTGATGGCTACTTGCTTGACTTGGGATTTGAAAGGAGCATCAATGAAGCTACACTGTATGTAAAACAAGTGTATTATGAAATTCTAATTGTTTCAATTTATGTTGATGATATCCTTGTCTTTGGAAGCAATCCAAACTCGTGAAAGAGTTTAGAAAGCAAATGGAGGGCATGTTTGAGATGAATGATTTGGGCCGGATGTGTTATTTTCTAGGAATGGAAGTGTCTCAAGTTTCAATAGGCACTTTTATTTCTCAAAGGAAATATGCCACAAAATTATTGAAGAAGTTTTCTCTAATTGGTTGCAAAGTTGTTAGCATTCCAGCGAGTTCAAGGATTGAAGTTACAAACAAATGATGGTTCGGACACTGTTGATCCTTCAATCATCGGGAGTCTTGTTGGCTCATTGCTGTATTTGTCAATCACAAGACCGGATATAATGTATGCAACTAGCATTCTATCAAGATATATGCACATGCCAACCGAAAATCATCTCAAAGCGACCAAAAGGGTCCCGAGGTATATTCGGGATACAATTTCATATGGTGTGTTGTTTAAGAGGAGTTCGACTTTGAAATTACTTGGATTCACCGATAGTGATTGGGCTGGATCACTTGAAGATTCAAAAAGCACCTCGGGCTATTGTTTTACACTTGGATCGGGTGTTATATGTTGGAGTTCAAGGAAGCAAGGTTCCGTTGCTCGGTCTATCTGCTGAGGCAGAGTATATGGCTGCATCTGCTACTCGTTAATCAAGCCTTATGGTTGAGAAAAATGATGAGTGATTTGAAGTTTAAGCAAGAAGCTGCTACAATGATTTTGTATGATAATAAGTCTGCTGTTGCAATGGTTAAAAATCCTGTTTTTCATGGAAAAACTAAGCACATTAAAATCAAATATCATGCTATTAGAGAAGCGAGAGAAGGAAGGTGAAGTTGTCTTTGTTGCGTTGTTCAACGAGAGGAACAAGCTACCGATATTTTCACCAAGGGACTGCAGAAGAATAGATTTGAAGAACTTAGAGGCAAGCTTGGTGTTATGCATAGCTCTTGCATCAAGGAGGAGTGATGAAGCTTGTAGTTCATGATCACGTACCGATACAAAGCCATGCACTAGATTTTGTTCCTTTTGTTTTTGAATATTTTGTAATACAATTAATGAATGTACCCGAAGTTTGAATGACTTGTGGTGGAACTTAATTTCAGCTTTAGACAAGGGAACAAATTTCCTTAAATTATGAAAATTTACTATTGACTTATACTTTTGTATTATTATAAACATGTCTCTGCAGTAATGAAAAAAGAGTGAGTTCCCTTTCATTTTTTGTCTATCTTCTTCTTCTTTCATACGCATATACCAGAAACTTCCTACAATTGTCTTTAGAACCGGTAAAACTCCCATGGTGTATATGGGAATGGAAGAAAGAACACTTTGTATTAGAGTGATTCTTCCCCCAATCGAAAGCAATCTTCCCCTTCAGCCTGCCACTTTATCTTTGATTCTGTCCTCCATTTTTGAGAAATAAGCAACTCGTGGTCTTCCCTTGAACATAGGCATTCCCAGATAATTCATCATCCCTGTTACCATTAAAAAGCCAGTCCATCTTCCAATCATAGCCCTTCTATTTGCAGAAAGTTTGTTACTACATATAAATGAGCTTTTATTGTTATTTATCCTTTATCCACTAGCCACAGAATACTCCTGCAGAAGAGCTAATAACTTGTCTACGTTCTTCTTCCCACCATTACTAAAAATTAGCATATCATTAGCAAAAAAAATTTGTTCTACCCGTGTGATAAGGAATAAGAAAACCTTCATTTGTTAGTTTGTGTAGCTGTCTAGAAAGAGTTTCTTGAGCCAGGATGAATAATGCAGAAGATAGAGGATCTCCTTGCCTTACCCCTCGTTCTGACTTGAAAAATCCATGTGATGTGCAATTAAGAATTATGGAGTACCAATAGTTTGACACACATTTGGAAATAAGTTCCCTCTAATTGCTTGAGAAACCAAATCTGCTTAATACCATATTCAGGAATCTCCAATCCAATCTATCATAAGCCTTGGACATGTCAACTTTGAGAATGATATTTCCTCCATGAGATTTTCTATCCAGATCATTAAAGAGCTCTTGAGCTAATGCTACACTCTCATGTATTAACCTTCCCTTGACAAATCCTGTTTGCTCTTTAGATATCAAACTAGGAAGAACTTTACTTAGCCTATTTGTTATAATTCTTGCCAAAATCTTGTAGGAGAAGTTACAAAGACTAATGGGCCTTAGATCTTCAAATTTGGTTGGATTTGGACATTTTGGAATGAGAATTAGGCTGGTTGTAATAGTAGCTTTCGGAATTTCCCCTCCTTTGAACACCTCTTGGATTGCAAGTGTAACCTCCTTAGCTATTATATTCCAACAGCTCTTAAAAAGAGTGAAGCCATCAAGTCCTGGGACACTTCCCTTATCCATTTCAAGCACTGCCTCTTTGATTTCATCCTTAAGAGGGATCGACATTAATCTTTCATTTTGATCATCACTGATAAGGGAAGGTAGAATGTCTAGGTAGTTGTCCTCCAGAACTATGTTTTCATTTCTGAATATGTTTTGAAAGTACTCTACTGCTGCCTTGCCCATTTCTTCATCATTTTGGAAATCTGCACCATCCTCTCCTTTGATTGATATTTTGCCTTTAACCCTTTTTTTTTTTTTTTTAATAAAAAAAAAAATTTATGCAGGCATGAAAATAAGTGGAATTTTGATCACCTGCTTAAAGCCACCTTTCTCTTAATTGTTCCTACAGTAGCATTTCTTCCTGCTCTACCACACTGGCCAACTTTGATTTAGCTTCCACACACTTCTCATAGTTTGTTTGACTCCACTAAGACTGAAGAGTTGCTTCTAATTGAATGACTAGATCCGAGGCTTCATTAATCTTCTTTTTGATGTCCCCAAACACTCTCCTGTTTCATTTTTTGAGTTCAATTCGCAGGACCTTCAATTTGATTTACAGATTCATGAAGGCATTGTTACTGATATTTTTTACTAGGTTACTATTCCATTTGTTAATGGCAAATGTTCGAAAGTCTGCATGTGTTGTCCATATCTTCTTAAAAGAAAACCTTACAATTCGCATAACATCTTTTTCCCAAGTCAGCAAAAGTGGACAGTGATCTGAGAATGTTCTAGGGAAATGATTGCAAGTAATTTTGGGAAGATATGAAATCATAACAGTGTTGGCCAGTACCCTATCTAATGTTTTCCACACCCTTACAGTCCCATACTGATTGTTACTCCACGTGAACTTACTTCAAGTATACCCAATATCATGTAAGCCCAGCTGATTGATTCCACTGTTGAATTCGAAGATTGAGCTCAATCCTTGTTGTGTTATTCTACCCCCATCTTTTTCTGCTACATTTGTTATGGCATTAAAATCTCCCCCTAAGAACCATGGCTTAGAGATGTTGAGACCTCAAAGATTATCCCATAGCCTTCTTCTCTCTATCATATCACAGCTACCATATATAGCAGAGAACACAATACTTTTTTTTGTCCCAATGTCCTTAATACCACAATTGATTGGCTGTGAGCATACTGCCTACAAACTCACATCTAGATAGTCTTTCCACAATAAACAGATATGTTTATTTATAGGATTTCCATGCATGTACCCTGTGAAATTCAAATATCTTGCTAGCTTTATGAGCTTCACTCCTAATTGTTTAGGTTTTAGCAGAACTAAAAAAGATACCCTATTATGGTTCACTAACCTTTTTAAATATCTCCTCTTGTCTGAGGTAGAAACACCCTTTCTATTCCAAATCAAACTATACATTTGGTAAAGCAAGAAAAGGTTTCCCATTGTGATCAATATCTGATCTTGTCATCCTTTTGTCACTTCTTTGTAATAGACTTTTGATTAGCTTTTTTTTCCCTTTGTTCTCCATATTCTGTCTGCTCTTTTTTAGAAACTGTACCACCCATTTTTGCTTCTCATAGCTACGATCAGATATGCATGGGGGAAAGTTCTACATCCATACCATTTGCTACAATACTGTCCTCTAATCCACTGACTGATAGGCTATCGAATGGATTCTTTGTAACAAAATTTTGAGTCAGAATAGTCTTAGCCATTCCTATCGGAGTTGTGTTTGCTTGATCACCATTTGTTGTTCTATAGTCTACACTATCTGACCTCTGTTCCAGTAAGTTGCAATTGTCTTCGTTTCTTATTTCTGGATTGACTGGCTGTTCACCATTTGAATCTCTGCCATCTTCAATATCTGACTTCTTTTTCTACAAAATTCTTATCCCTGAGTTATCTGGATTGGGATTCATAACTACTGTCTCCCTCATATCCTTTTGCTATTTCTCTATGTAATCTGAAGGTTCACCTGATGTGGAATTGGTTATGTGATCATGCTCTTGTGTTTTAATCACCAAGATACTCTTCCCCTTTTCCAGGATTAAGGTAGTCTGATTGTTCTCCAAATTCTCTCCATTACTATCATGGATTACAATCTCTTTGCTACTCTTATTATTAGCTACTACTTGCTAGATCTGTAGTTGGCGTAAAGCATTTATCTGTTTGATTTGGACGCGCCTAGCAGTTTTGCTTTCTTCTTCTTTTCCATTATATCACATCGTTTTCCTACACATATTTTTCTCATGCCCCTGAAGTCTACACTATCTGCAGAAGCTCATCTTTGATTCCATTACAACTAGTTGCCAGAAGCCTCTTTTTATATCTGTTCTTGTGGAGATCCATATCTTGTTCAGAATAGCCTCTACTAAGTCGACTTCCACACATAGTCTTGCATGAATGGGATGAGATCCATTCATTATACGATCATCTAGCCTAATGAATATACCAAAAGGCCTCATAATTTCTCTCAGGAAAGCTGAGGTAGAAAAAGGTAGAGGCAATCCAGGAAGTTTAATCCATATTACAAATTTCTTAGATTCATACTTAGTGTTGAAGTCTGCATCCCACTTGAATAACCGAAACCTCATGTTGTCTATTATCTTTGACTCAATGGACCATGCTTCAGCAAAATCTTTAGCTGAGAAGAGTCTGATCAGAACATGTCTAGGATCCATCAGTCCTACTATTAGATCTTCAGTTAGTCCCCAGTGTTGTTGTATTGCAGCTCCGATGTTGTTGATAGGAGGTCTCCCTATAGAGAATTTTGGAACAAGTGAGTGTTGGAAGACCTTTTCTGACTGTTGTAAATCCTCCATTGTAAATGTAACCGCAGGCTCTCCCTCATATTCTGAAGGAAACTTAGGATCTATGGAGATTGTGGGAAAGTTATGTGCTAAGTTTTTGGTTTATTGTGGCTGCTGCATAGGAAAAAGGTGTGTGGCGAGTTGGTTTTGCTATTTGGAAAGGAATATTCTGTTTTGATACAGGTGATGGTATATTAGTTTGTCTTGGAATTATAGGTAAAGGAGTCAGAGTGAAGGTTTTGGGGAATATGTTGGTTTGTAGGTATCAAAGTTTCTATTATGACCGTGGAAGCTGTTTGTATGGCATCTTTTTTTGGGTTTGTGGGAGATGTTGTTGTGAGTGTAGGTTGAAAGTTTATTATGGGTGATGTCCCCTCCATTGGGGGACATCTTCTAGTAGCTTGGCTACCGAGGAAGCCATAGCTGAGGAGAAACGGCTGCCTCTATGGATGGCTTTGCAGAACTATAGGCAATTCGGGTGAATAGTTCATCAATAGCGATAAAGTGTTCAAAACTCTATGCCTTTTAGTGTATTACTAATATTAACATGTATTTGATAAAATCAAATATGAACACAATTCAATTTAAAAAATAAAAATTAAAGTTCGCATATATAAATAGCAAAACCAAAAATAAAAAAATATTTTTTTTTAAAAAAAAGTTTGCACCATTCTGTGAAGTGAATGGGAAGAATGAGATCTCTGGTTCAAATCATTATTATTTTCAAAATGAATTAACTACTTAATCTATATTTATATAATGACTTGAGTTTTTAATTTTTTTCATTATTTTTTATTGAGCTAATTTTATTTTTATTAAATAATTAAGTTTTTAATTTATTTTTTTAATAACTTTTAATCTAAATTAACATAATAAATCATACACATTACTTAATATTATATCAAAAATATTAATCCCGATAGAAAATGAGGGGTTCACTTGAGGGAGAAGAAAAAGAGAGGAGAGAGAAGCCTAGTCCGGTATAAATTATTTATATAAATTATTAGTTTGTTTGTCATGAGCTTTATTTGTGATTAATATATTTATAGAATTTTCATTTTCAGTATAATGTTAAGTGATATACATAACTAATTCAATTAATTTGCATAAAAAAAGTTAACAAAAAAAAATTGAAAAATCAATAATTTTTATAAAAATAAAATTGATATAACTAAACTTATGAAAACATATCAAAATTGCATCATTTTATAAAAACATACTAGATCATTTCTCCATAAATCAATAAACAAAACAAATTCTCGGTAAATTTGAACACGCTAAATCATCATATCCAAGTAAATGATATCGCAGGTATTCTCAACATTTGTCCAATAATGGTTAACTATCTATAGATATTTATCATGAATTACAAATTCTCATGAATTTACCAAATAAATACATGTATTATCATAAGATCATACCACTCGATCTTTAAACTCTTAAATAAGTAGAAAAATAGAAGTGAAACTTCTTGTTGATTATTGCTTGAATGAAGAGGCTTTCTCCATCCGAATTTTCAAGACCAATTAAAGCCAAGCCAAAAATCCCAAATCTACAACCTTACATGATCTGTCATAAGCTAAAGCAAATAACTTACTAATTTGTCTCTTTTTAATAATATCTCTTTTTCACAAGTCATTCATTCACAAATGTCCAAGTGGTCATCTTGTTGAGATGGCCAGTTTTTCAAAGTCGAGTCGTCACCCTATTGAGATTACTAATCTTTCTTTTAAGAAGCTTGTTGAATACCTAAGAGTCATATTTCAGCTACTCCAACATCCCAAGAGGATTTGTATATTTGTGGCATTTTCCTCATGAGGGTTTGTATTTTTGATGGATTTTCTTCACCCCATCGGGGTTTGTATATTTGATAAACTTCTAACATCCTAAGAGGATTCATATATTCCTTCTTCCTATGAAGATTTGTATATTTGATGGATTTGCTTCATCCCATATGGGTTCATATATTTGATGAACTTTTCACTCCATTAGGGTTTATATATTTGATTCATTTTTTAAAAATCAAATCACTTTGAGAGAGTTCATATATTTAATTGATTTTATTTTTCAAAATCAAATCACCTCCAAGAAGGTTCATAAATTTGATTGATTATCTTTTTAAAGTCAAGTTTCTCCAAAAAGGATCGTACATTTGATTGCTTCACTTCGAGAGAGTTTTTATATTCATGTATTTCTAAAAATCAAATCACCCTAAGGTGACTCGTATATTTGATTCATTTTTAAAATCAAATCACTTCAAGACAATTCATATATTTGATTCATTTTCAAAGTCGAATCACCCATTAGTGGTTTGTTTCTTTGAGTTTTTTTTTTTATCGTATCTCTTCTTACATCTTTGATGCATAAGCATTGTAAAATTAAGACAATTGTCATAATCCTATTTTTATCTCCATAAAAAAAATGAAAAAAATTCAAAAAGAAAAAAAGAGAAATCAAAAAAGAGAAAAGAGAAAAAAATATGAGGGAACTAGGCCTAGATTGGGATTGGGTTAGGTATTAGGCATTGGGGTAGGCTTGATTAATAATAAAAGAAAAAAAAATTAGAATAGGAAAAAATCCTAGGTTAACCCTATAAGCATCCCTATAAATACTATGCATACACACATACACCCACACACACACAAAAGGGAATAAGATACTGCCACCTAAAAAAGAAAAACCCTAGCAATCAATAAAAGAGAGACAAAATAATAGCCATAGAGATCCAATCGTCGCTCATTTCCTATACGCCATCGACGGATAGTTGCTTAACCAAAAGAAGCGTATATCCAATACAATTCCAACCCCATAAGAATTGCTCAATTTTGATCATTGAGGAAGCCATACTCGCCATTCAAATTTTCACCTTACGTGGTAAATATTTTATCCGAGTTTGGTCCTCGAAACTCTAATTTTGATAATTTCACCTCTATATGTTCTATATTTGATTTAATCATCATCCAAAATTTGTATATTGCATGATTACTTGATGATTGATATACTTTTTAATCTAATTATGTGATTAAGATGGAATTTGTATGATTATGGGATTAAAACATTTTGATTAAAAGGGTGAAATTGGAAAAATCCAAACTTGTTTTATTTTGTAATTTTTGGCGATTTAAAAGGGAATTAAATTCAAAAGTTTTGTGATTTTTATAAATTCTTAAATTTAATCTGATTTGGTTAGGATTTTATGGTTTTTAATTTAATTCATTATTATCTTAATTTTTATTTTATGTACTCATTATTATTATTTTTGATAAAAAGGTGTTTAAGGGTTCAATATATTGTGTATTATTTTTATTTTCTATATAAAGATTCCTTGAGGAATTTTCAATCAATAATGAAGCTAGCAATAGGCTAGCAATTTATTATTAGAAAAGTAAAATAAGCCAAATCTAAATTTATAGGCCAAGGACCTTATGGAGGCTAAATAGCTATTTTATTTTAAGTGATGTCAATTTAGGTCTATCTATTTGGAGTAGGTTTAGGACCAAAGACCGACTTTGTTCTAATGATGGACTTTATTTATTATTTATTTTATTATTTATTGTTATTGTTTATAGTTAATTTTAATTATTTTTATGGTGCTACTAATTTTTTTCTTCTCGTAAATTTAGGTTTGAATTTGGTTTTAGGGATCCAATTTGATATTTTAGAATGACATGGTAAGGTGATATTAGTTGGAGGGCCATGTTTATTTATTTTTTAAAGTTATTATGAACTTGTAATTTTATTTTTATTTTTTTTATTGTTTGGTAGGTTAATTTGAGCCTAGGCTCATGTTTATTTTACTTTTTTTTTTTTTGAACAAGGATTTAATGTGCAATGGGCTTTGTTTCCTAATTTTTACCTTCTCAAATGTGCTCCAACGACATATTAGGTGAGAGATCGAGTTCCATTGACATATTAGGTGAGAGACTAAGTTTTCATTTAGTTTTCAAATCACTTTTCTTAGGACTTAATTAAAAAAAAACTCAAATAGCCAAATACATAAATCAAGATAGAAAAAGGTAATTTGCATGAATGAATTATCCTAGGCTAGAAATACAAGGTAACCTCAT